GTACCCACTGTATATATATATATATATATATATATATATTTATTTATTTATTTATTTATATTTATTTATTTATTTATCTTTTCTCTGATATGACCTCTAGGATGCTGCAGGCAAGGTTCTGGACAGATGGACTATAATGTCTCGGGAAGAGGAGATCATCACTCTTCAACAGTTTCTGCGCTTTGGTGAAACCAAGTCTATTGTGGAATTGATGGCCATCCAGGAAAAGGAGGGTCAGGCAGTCACAGTGCCCTCATCAAAGACTGACTCTGGAATCAGAACTTTTATTGAAAGCAACAATCGCACACACAGTCCTGGCCTTCTGTCGCACCTAGAAAACAACAGCCCCTCTAGCATTCACCATTTTGAGAACATCCCAAACAGTCTGGCCTTCTTGCTGCCCTTCCAGTACATCAACCCAGTGTCAGCCCCCATGTTAGGGCTGCCACCAAATGGACTGACCATTGAGCAATCAGGTCTCAGAATGCGAGAGCCAAATCTGCCCAATCAGAGTGAGCCAGTGGAGACCAGTGAATCTGAAGTGTCCCTCTCACCATTTCGTAATGGTCAGAGCCCCAGTCGAGGAACAATGGGGACCTTACCTAACGCCATTGAACCTAAGATAGAACCCAACAGAGCTTCACCCATCTCTCCAACACCATCTTCACACCAGTCCCAGCAACCACAAACACCAACACAGCAACCACAGGGGCAGCAACAACAGCAATCAAGCACTCTGAACAACCACCAGATCCATCACCACTTTGAAAAGAATGAACAATTGAAAACCATTACACACTCTTCTTTCTCTTCCAAAATGCATCGCATGCGTCGTATGGGTGCAACCTCACGTAAGGGTCGTGTATGCTGTAATTCCTGTGGCAAGACTTTCTATGATAAGGGTACTCTAAAGATCCACTACAATGCTGTGCATCTGAAGATTAAGCACCGATGTACTATCGAAGGCTGCAATATGGTCTTTAGTTCATTGAGAAGTCGTAACCGGCATAGCGCTAATCCCAATCCTCGTCTACATATGCCCATGCTAAGGAACAACCGGGACAAGGACCTCATTCGCTCCAGTTCTGGGACAGCAACACCTGTCATATCAAGTGCCAAAAGTGGCTTCAATCTAACTAGCCCTGGGCGACCACCACTAAGCTTTGCCACCCCTCCTCTTGACCCCATGATACAGTCACCCCTGCAGAGCCCTCTTGTTTTCCCTTCCCTGAAGTCTGTGCAGCCAGTGCAACCTGTGCCACCTTTTTATCGCACACTGCTCTCTCCCACTGACCTAGTTAGTCCCCCAGTCTCTTTGCCCACCAGTCCAATTTTGCCTACCACAACCAACAGCACATCTCTGACAGACCAGCAACAGATGTTAACTGCTAGCTCCCACAACATGCATGTATCAGAAACATCAATGTTTTCTCATCGCCTACTCACAACTCCCAGTACCCAAGATTCTGTAACTGTCGACCCTATGCCTAAAAAGAAGCCTCGGAAATCTAGCATGCCAGTAAAGATAGAGAAAGAAATAATAGATGTGGCAGATGATTATGATGACAAAGATGATGATGATGATGAAGATAGTTGTCATCATCACCACCATCAGCCATCCAACATCCATAACAATGTCAATGGCAACTGCAACAACAACAATAAACAAAGAAAAAGGAAAAATTTTAATTGCATCATATGACCCCTTTAAAAAAAATTTAAAAACTTTGTAATTTGCTTTTTTCCCGTTTACTTACATCAAATTGAAATACAGGAGTTCAAACCACTGTGCCATTTAAAATAATATTTTTGAGGCTGAAATTTAAAGCCTTACCTCCAGGCTAAACTCATTCTCAAACACCAAATGAAAGTGTAAAATGTTTTTAATGTATTTTTAACAACAAATACCCCAGTGACTATTGATGTGCTGTCTCTAAAGAATTTATCTTGCTTAAATTTCTGAGGCCATGCTGTTGTGAAACCATTCTGTATTCCCACCTCTCGTTCTCTCTTACTATCTTCTCTTTTCTTCACTTTCTCTCATTCTCTAACTCTCCCACTCTCTTTAAACATTTATTCACTGTCTGTGCCTTGAAAGCCCTTTGTGCTTTGTGCTGTTGATTCTTACAGCTCTTAAAATCCAGAGTAACCATTTATCATTCATAGAACCTAGCAGGCTAGGGCAGACAAAGCCTTGCCTTGAGTAATCTCGAATTGTCATCAGAACAACTATTGCTCCCTTGCTGTTGCCTTGTTCTGTGTCAAGGGTAAACTAGATCATATATGAGAAGAGCAAAATAATCTTCTATCCCCTTAAACTGGAAGTGCCATTCATAAACTCTTATGGTAGCAATAGCATAGTGCCACACTTTTGGCATCAAATCATGTGGCAAATGCCAATGAACATTTATATACAGTTTATAAATAGTATAAGAAAGGTTATGCCTGTTACTTTACATGACTTTAAAAGCCTATTCAGTCACATGAAGACAATTCCAGTGGTAAGACAATATATAACAGCTGATTCATTTTCAAACTCATTATTCACATTTTCACGTATCAATAGGGTCTATACGCAGCACAGTTATGTCAGGAAACATACTTCAAAAAATGCAGGTACCAGAGAGAGGAACACTAAGTCACAAATGTTATGTATCAAAGTTATAAGCCTGACCACAACACTAAAAGATACTGCCATGATTCCATTCCCAGAATCTCTTGCCATATCTCAGCATCTGGCAGTGGGCAAGTGTGTAAAGCTCTAAAACTGTTTTATTTTTTCAATGGTTAATAATACCATTACTTAGAATGCTGGCCGATTACAAGCTCCTTGGAAGTGGTGCTTATTTTCGCTCCTGGAGCAATACCGCTCTCTCAAGATGGAAACTTCCCACATCCCATGGTTTCGGCTTTGCAAAATGAATGAATGAATAAATGACAATAATAATATTAAACAAATAAACAAGCCAGGCCAGTTATGATATGTTGAGATTTACATCATTCCATACTTGTGTGCCTGAAGGCAAATATAAGTTAACAAACACATTTCAGTTGACACCATCTTCTTGATAAAGTATGCCTTCATTAATATTTAATCTAGTTTGAGACAAGCTAAACTCCAATTAACATAAAGCTCAGGCAATACTGATCTGCATCGTGCCTAATAAATTTGGTGATATTCCCTTATCCTTACTCTACCCATCACCTGTATCTTCCTAGATACTATGCTGATATTATATACAGTGGGTACGGAAAGTATTCAGACCCCCTTAAATGAAATAATAGATGTGGCAGATGATTATGATGACAAAGATGATGATGATGATGAAGATAGTTGTCATCATCACCACCATCAGCCATCCAACATCCATAACAATGTCAATGGCAACTGCAACAACAACAATAACAGCAGCAGCAGCAGTCATCACTGTGGGGGTAGTGGACATCAGTCTCCATCACACGATGAAATGAGTCCCAGTCTAGCCCTTAGAGGCATGCTCCATCCTGACCAAGAAGAGTGCAGTGGGAGTCATGGCAGTAGAGGCCATGGCGACCTGCGCTGTATTGACAGCTTTACCTCTGAGGACCAAGATCATGAGCGTGATTTTGAAAATGAGTCAGAGACATCTGAATCCAAGATGCTCTACCGTGATGAGCTGATGGACACTGACGTACATCAGCCTGCCCTAGACAGAAACCTGGGCAAGGAACATCAGGGGGCAGAAGATGAGGGACACCTACGGAAAGATTTGGAGGAACAAAACCATTCCCCACCCTCCCAACACCAGCCTGTTATCAAAATCAAAGAGGAGATCAATGATCCTACTTATGACATGTTCTGCATGGGTCAATATAGCCTTTGCAATGGGGGTATGGCAGTTGCCGCTGCCGCTGCTGCCAGCATGGCTGCCTTACATGAAAGTTTCATCTCCTCTATGAGCTATGGATCAAGCCCACCAAAATTCTCTTCTCAGTCCCCTGACGGTGATCTCTGTTCTAGTCCTGATCCCAAGATTTGCTACGTCTGCAAAAAGAGCTTTAAAAGTTCATACAGTGTCAAACTGCACTACAAGAATGTGCACCTAAAAGAGATGCATGTGTGTACTGTGGCTGGATGCAACGCTGCATTCCCCTCCCGACGGAGCAGAGATAGGTGAGACAAATAACCCTTTTTTCCTCTAACAAAATCAAACAGATGTACACAGATGTAAATATGATAACTGGTAAACTTATAACAGGCCGTTTAGACGTGAATATATTTTTTAAACAATAATTAAACAAAATTGGTTTAATTCACTACATTACACTATACTATACTATGTTATACTATACTATACTATACTATGCTATCCTATGCTATACTATACTGTATTGTACTGTACTATACTACTGTATACTATATTATATTATACTATACTATACTACTATTTTTTAATAGTGCATAGTTTCAAATTATGTAAATTTAAAAGTAGTTCTGTCATGACCTCAATATTTATTTATTTATTTATTTAATTAAACATTTTATAAAGTTGTGATATAACCTGTCTGAGGAACCTATTCGATCTTGAATCTTTATTGCTATTTGAAAGGGACGGAAAAAAAAATGTTTTAACGAGAAGAACGTGTTGATTGTACATTTCTGCAGATGCTTATTTAATAACTTAATGTGTTGTTTACCTATACTTGCTCACCTGTCACGTACAGGTAGACATGCATACATTAGCAGAGGTTGAAGCTTGTCAAACCACTGCATTCATTAGCGCATCAGGAGGTGCAGATTTCACTCACTGCTAGTTAACACATTTACCATAAACATTCCCAGAATACATTTATGCTAGAGGGCAAGCAACAAACCTATCTTTACTCAAATGTAGACTCTCCATAGATATGCATTCATTTATTCCACTTTACTAGAAATTACAAATGAAAATGTCTCAGGTTACGTATGTAACCATGGTTCCTCGAGGGAACAAGACGCTGCGTCTAATAGCATCCTGATCCACCACTTGGCATAAGCTTCTCTGGCCGGAGGCCTTGGCCTCAATGCACCGCGGAGGAAACATGTAAGAAGAGGGTGTCTTCCCACTGAATGGCCACCGAGAGGGGCGTGGTAGGCCACAATGGCCACCACGAAGACCTCTATGGTGGATTGGGTCAACCCTGCGGATAAACAGGCCTGCAGGAACTCCAGAACTGTACCAAACGGGTAGTTAGCTGGGTCGGGCTGGCCATGGAGCGCCGTCGAGGAGAGAAATCAGGCCCGAGAACCATACTTGGCCCGGCCAGAATGGGGCTACTAACAACAGACAGGCCCCGTCCCGGCGCAATCTCTCCAGAACTCCCGGGAGCAGAACAATCGGAGGAAAGGCGTACAGATGAAGCCTCGGCCACGTCTGTACCATGGCATCCAGCCCCCGTGGAGCTGAATGAGTCAGAGAGAACCAGAGGGGACAGTGCGATGTCATATGAGTCGCAACAGGTCCACCTGAGCCTGGCCAAACACTCTCCTTATCTGCTTCACCACCTCGGGGTGAAGCATCCATTCCCCAGGTCTCAGCCCCTGCCTCGACAGGATGTCTGCTCCCAAATTGAGATGCCTCGGCCTTCTCTTACTCTCGCGACTGTGGTGAGGATCGACTCGATCCAAGCAGGATACATACGTGCCTGCATCGTGGTTTAATCCCACACCATGCCCAGATAAGTGGTTCTCTGTACTGGAGAAAGCACACTTTTCTTGGCGTTAAGTCTTAACCC